CACCATATGGGAAAAAACTATGTCGAAACAAAGTGGAACATAGAGGAAATTATCATCCAATGTATGCATTAACATCCTCTCATAAATTATTTTAGACACAATTAAGCAGATAAATTGAACACTAAAAATAAACACCTGCTTTTGGCTGGGTGCAGTGGTTCATGCCTGTAATCCCTGCACTTTGGGAGGCCAAGGTGGGTAGATGGCTTGAGGCCAGGAGTTTGAGACCAGCCTGGCCAACATGGCGAAACCCCAACCCTACTAAAAATACAAAAATTAGTCAGGCGTGGTGGCATGCACCTGTAATCCCAGCTACTTGAGAGGCTGAGGCACGAGAATCACTTGAACCCAGGAGGCAGAGGCTGCAGTGAGCCGAGATCACACCACTGAACTCCAGCCTGGGTGACAGAGCGAGACTCTGTCTCAAAAAATAATAAAAAATAGAAACCTGATTTCACAAGTATAAGCCAGTAGAAAGTCAGACGCAGACACATATACCATCATCCTTAGTATTATCTTACTCAAGAATAATAGCTAGTTGTAGGTAAAAGCTCAAATATTTCACTCCAGGAAAATACCCAAAAAGGATGAAGGTCAGGTAGGAGGGGACCAGAACACTAACTATACAGCCAATAACTGGCAGAAGATTCAAAATGTAATGAACACCACAGATGAAAATGTGATGAACATAGAGTTGCTCCCTTCATGGGCCACTAAAGGTTTAACACTGCCTCTTCCCTACAGCGTAATTGTTTCTTCACACAAAATAACCACTGCTATACTATTACTCCATTATTCCTTTTAAATACTTACTATCATCTCCAACAGGACCTGCTGAACACTGTGCTGGAGGGTCACGGGCCAGGTCGTTCAATTCCTTCAGAAAAAAAGAAAGAAAACAAATATATTCAACATAAATGTAACTTTTATCCATTACTAAAGTTTATATTGTTGCCAATATTCTCTGTCTTGCTGGTGAAACTCTTTTAAGAGCATTCCTTCAGAGTCAGAGATGAGTAGACTAGTGAATCTTTAAGGTATTTTGGATTCTTCAATGCAATGTTTATTTTTTTAAAGTGGATCATTTTTGCTTTGTTCAGAGCTTAGCAAATAAATAAGGAAGGTAAAACATGTATTATGGACCAGGCACAGTGGCTAACACCTGTAATCCCAGCACTTTGGGAGGCTGAGGCAGGCAGATAACTTGAGGTCAGGAGTTCGAGACCTACTTGGCAACAAGCCTGTCTCTATTAAAAAAGACAAATTAGCTGGGCATGCCTGTAGTCCCAGCTACTCGGGAGGCTGAGGCAGGAGAATCGCTTGAATCTGGCAGGCAGAGGTTGCAGTGAGCCAAGATGGTGCCACTGCACTCCAGCCTGGGAGACAGAGTGAGACTTAAAAAAAAAAAAAAAAAAAAAAAATTAGCTGGGCGTGGTGGCACACACCTATAATGCCAGCTATTTGGGAGGCTGAGGCAGAAGAATCACTTGAACCTGGGAAAGAGAGGTTGCAGTGAGCCAAGATGATGCCACTGCACTCCAGCCTGGGCAACAAATCAAGATACCATCTCAAAAAAAAAAAAAAAAAAAAAATCTTGTAGTCAGAGACTGGTCTACCTGTAGTAACACTTTACAACCAGTTATCAGCTTTTTAGCTTTTTAAACATAAAAGCCCAGAAACTTGAGACTTGTAATTGGGTGGGGATGTCTGAAAAATCACAAGGCAGGAAATCATACTATATTCCATTTCCCCTCAGCTTGGTTTTTGAGACAAAAGCAAGTTCTCAAGAAGAACTAGTTTTCAATTATATTTAAAACTACAACAGTAAAAAAAGTCTAAGATTTTTTAAGTGCAAAAACCATTCAGACTCTTATTAAGTGGTATAAAGGTATGATTTCATATTATAAATATTATTTATTTATTTATTTATTTATTTTTTGAGACGGAGTTTCCCTCTTGTTACCCAGGCTGGAGTGCAATGGCACAATCTCGGCTCACCGCAACCTCCGCCTCCCGGGTTCAGGCAATTCTCCTGCCCCAGCCTCCTGAGTCGCTGGTATTACAGGCACGTGCCACTATGCCCAGCTAATTTTTTGTATTTTTAGTAGAGACGGTGTTTCACCATGTTGACCAGGATGGTCTCGATCTCTTGACCTCGTGATCCACCCGCCTCAGCCTCCCACAGTGCTGGGATTACAGGCTTGAGCCACCGCCCCCGGCATATTATTTATTTTTTAATTTGCAGAACAAATATTTACTGTAAGTCCCCATCTCAGAGTTAAGCTGTTCAACTAGGCATTTTATTATACCAATTATGTTGTTTTATCCTGTCTATATGCTTGGAGTACAAAACTAAAGTTTGAAAAAAAGAAGGCTCTGGATGGAGAAAATGGTTAACTTACTCAAATATCTCAATTTTTGAATTGTGTCTACAAAACAGAGATGTCCTGCCCATCTCAAGGAAAAAAAAATAGCCTACTGTGTAGTTCCCATTCTCAAATATTACTGACAGCACAGGTTGGTATAACTAACACCTGGCTTTATTTAAGACACTGCTGTAGCAACAGGTTATTAAAATATAATTTGAATTTAACAATTTAACCATTGAATTGAACAATTTTGAAGTCCTGTCATGCTCATTAAGTAGAATTTTACTTTTGATTTAGCCTTAATCTTTTGCTCCTTTCAAACTGAGTTACTTTTTTCCATGCTGAATTATGAATTACATCAAGGTTTTTAACTCAAGAGTTAAGATTTATCTAAGCAGAATACAAGATCCATCAGTCCATTTTGTGAGCAAGTATAACTAATTTTAAAACCCTAAGCCAAACTTAGGCTAATAGACATTTAACACACTAATTCAAGACTTCCTTGGCTGAAGGCATTGATACAGCTCAATCTCAAAAGCATACTGCTAAGTGAAAGAAGCCAAACATAAGGCTACATGATGTATTATTCCATTTATATGACGTTCTAGAACAGGCAAAACTGTAGTGACAGAAAACAGATCCATGGTTCCAGTGGCTAGAGAAAGTTGGAAGAGGGAATGACTATAAACAGGCATGAAGAAAATCTGAGGAGTGATAGAAATGTTTAAAATCATTATTTTGGTAGAGGTTGTACAACTATATGTGTATTTGTCAAAAATCAAATTGTACACTTAATTTGACTGTATCTATCTCAAAGTTGTTTATTATTATCTTTTTAATGTAGAGACAGGGTCTCACTATGTTGCCCAGGCTGGTCTCTAACTCCTGGACTCAAGTGATCCTTCCGCCTCACCCTCCCAAAGTGCTGGAACTACATACAGGTGTGAGCCACAGTGCCTGGCCAATTTTTTATTCTTAAACATACATTTTGGGCCAGGCGTGATGGCTCACACCTGTAATTCCATCACTTTGGGAGACCAAGGCAGGCAGATCACAAGGTCAGGAGTTCGAGACCGGCCTGACCAACATGGTGAAACCCCATCTCTACGAAAAATACAGACATAAGCCAGGCATGGTGGTACACCTGTAATCCCAGCTACTTGGGTGGCCGAGGCAGGAGAATCACTTAAACCTGGGAGGCAGAAGTTGCAGTGAGCTGAGATCGTGCCATTGCACTCCAGCCTAGGTGACGCAGCGAGACTGTCACAAAAAAAAATAGCACATTAACTATCCATCTTTACATGTGCATTAAATATCTCTAAAGCATACACATGAAACTAGTTAATAAATTGCCTTTGGGAAGGAAAGCTTAGGGGTAAGAATGGGAATTATATATATTCCTTTTATACCTTTTGAATTTTATCCAAGTGTATATACTGCCTATTTGAAAAATAAATTACTCTTTAAAATTTTCTTTTCCTCTTTTTTTAACCAAGTGGGTCTGTGTAAGAACTACCCTATCAATTTGGATTAAAATAGCTGTTAAAAATTGTCATCATGGGCTGGGCGTGGTGACTCATGCCTGTAATCCCAGCACTTTGGGAGGCCAAGGTGGGCAGATCATGAGGTCAGGAGATCGAGACCATCCTGGCTAATATGGTGAAACCCCGTCTCTACTAAAAATACAAAAAATAGCTAGGCATGGTGGCATGCACCTGTAGTCTCAGCTACTTGGGAGGATGAGGCAGGAGAATCGCTTGAACCCAGGAGGTTGCAGTGAGCTGAGGATCACAACACGGCACTCTAGCCTGGGCAACAGAGACAGAGTGAGTCTCCATCTCAAAAAGAAAAAAAAAAAACAACTGTCATCATGACTGGATGCAGTGGCTCACACCTATAATCCCAGCACTCTGGGAGACTGAGCCAGGCAGATTACCTGAGGTCAGGAATTCAAGACCAGCCTGGCAACGTGGTGAAACCCCATCTCTACTAAAAGTACAAAAATTAGCCAGGCATGATGGCAGGCGCCTATAATCCCAGCAACTTGGGAGGCTGAGGCAGGAGAATTGCTTGAACCCGGGAAGCAGAGGTTGTAGCAAGCTGAGATGCTACTGCACTCTAGCTTGAGCAACAAGAGTGAGACTCCCACTAAAAAAAAATTGTCATCACTTGAGGGGTAACCTAAATAGTGAAAACCCAATTAGAGCAAATTAACATACAATCTATAAAACTGATGTCTCTACATTATGATCAAAACTGAAGTTGAATCTTAAAATTTATTTATTTATTTTTTTTGAGACAGAGTTTCACTCTTGTTGTCCAGGCTGGAGTACAATGGCGCCATCAGCTCACTGCAACCTCCACCTCCCGGATTCAAGCGATTCTCCTGCCTCAGCCTCCCCAAGTAGCTGTGATTACAGGCATGTGCCACCACGCCCCACTAATTTTGTAGAGACAGGGTTTCTTCATGTTGGTCAGGCTGGTCTTGAACTCCTGGCCTCAGGTGATCCACCCACCTTGACCTCCCAAAGTGCTGGGATTATAGAAGAGAGCCACCACCCCCAGCAAATTTTAAAATTTAATAAAAGCACTGAACTGATCTGGTTGGAACATGTGGGCAGGAAAAAAAAAAAATACCCAAATATATCATGCTGTGCTTTAACAGTTGGCCTTAAACCTATACATTAATTTCGACTTTGTATTTTATGAGAAAGAGCAATAGGGAAATAAAGTACAGCCAGCCCTCTGTGTCTGTGGGTTCCACCAACTGTGGATCAAATACACTGGGGAAAAAATGGTGTCTGTATTGAACATGTGCAGAATTCTTTGGTCATTTTTCCCTAAACACCACAGTGTAACAACTATTTACAGAGCATTGACACTGTATTAGGTTTTGTAAGTAATCTAGAGAAGAGTTCAAGTATACAGAAAGAAGTGCATAGGTTATATGCAAATACTATGCCATTTTATATCAGGGACTGGAGCAGCTATAAATTTTGGTATCTATGGAAGGAACTGGGACCAACCCTCCATGGCTACTGAGGGAGAAATGTATATATAATTAAGTTTAGAAAAAGGTGGTGAGTAGGGAACTTTGACATTCTCAATTTATAAAAAGATTCTCAGCCAGGTAGTGGTGGCTCACGCCTGATAATCCTAGTACTCTGGGAGGCTGAGGCAGGTGGATTACCTGAGATAAGGAGTTTGAGACCAACCAGCCTAGCTAACACAGTGAAACCCTGTCTCTACTAAAAATACAAAAATTAGGGCCGGGCGCGGTGGCTCAAGCCTGTAATCCCAGCACTTTGGGAGGCCGAGGCGGGTGGATCACGAGGTCAAGAGATCGAGACCATCCTGCTCAACATGGTGAAACCCCGTCTCTACTAAAAATACAAAAAAAAATTAGCTGGGCATGGTGGCGCGTACCTGTAGTCCCAGCTACTCAGGAGGCTGAGGCAGGAGAATTGCTTGAACCCAGGAGGCGGAGGTTGCGGTGAGCCGAGATCGCGCCATTGCACTCCAGCCTGGGTTACAAGAGGGAAACACCGTCTCCAAAAAAAAAAAAAAAAAAAAATACAAAAATTAGCCAGTTGTGGTGGTGCATGCCTGTAATTCTAGCTACCTGGGAGGCTGAGGCAGTAGAATCACTGGAACCCAGGAGCCAGAGGCTGCAGTGAGCTGAGATCGTGCCACTGCACTCCAGCCTGGGCAACAGAGCAAGACTTTGTCTCAAAAAAAATTTTTTTTAAGAAAAACAGAAAAAAGATAATTAAAGGAGAACATCAAAACTTTGAAAGCCTATGACATATATGTATCACAACACCATAGCAAAAAGAAATAAACCCTCTAAATTCCTTGAGGGGAGGGCATCCTTCAAGGAATGTGCAGATTTCCCTTTCACTGTATCCTGAGTAGGCAATTTAAGCTATTAGTTGGTAAAAATTAATGCTTCTTACAAGCTATTTTTAAACTACCCTCCTTTCTCAATCATAACAATTATGAAACAAAATTAAAATGGCATGGGAGGCCGGGCACGGTGGCTCAAGCCTGTAATCCTGGAACTTTGGGAGGCCGAGGCGGGTGGATCACGAGGTCAAGAAATCGAGACCATCCTGGTCAGCACGGTGAAACCCCGTCTCTACTAAAAATACAAAAAAATTAGCTGGGCATGGTGGCGCGTGCCTGTAGTCCCAGCTACTCAGGAGGCTGAGGCAGGAGAATTGCCTGAACCCAGGAGGCGGAGGTTGCGGTGAGCCGAGATTGCACCATTGCACTCCAGCCTGGGTAACAAGAGCAAAACTCCGTCCCAAAAATAAAAAAATAAAAAAAAAATAAAATGGCATGGGAAAAATCTGTTTACCCTTTTGGTCTTTATCCTACAGTATAAGGTGACAGAACAAGATGGGAAACAGAGAGGTTATAATTAACTTTGTAGAATAATGGCTCTAAAGTCAAGTTTTAGTAGTCTGAATACTGCAATACAAACCAAGGCTCTCTGGTATTTAAAATCACACTATGGAAATATTTAAACAAAGATTATGATTCATAGCATTGTAATTTCAGGGCTGGGCACAGTGGCTCATGTCTGTAATCCCAGCACTTTGGGAGGCTAAGGTGGGAGGATGGCTTGAGGCCAGGAGCTCTAGACCAGCCTGGTCATCGTAGTGAGACTCTGTCGCTACAAAAAAAATTTTTTTTTAATTAGCCCAGCATGGTAGAGGGAGCCAATAGTCCTAGCTACCCAGGAGGCTGAGGCAGGAGGATTGCTTGAGCCCAGGAGTTCGAGGCTGCAGTGGATCATGCCACTGTACCCCAGCCTGGGCAACAAAAATGAGACTGCATCTCTAAAAAAAAAAAAAAAAAAACAAAAAAAAGTACATATTTTAATACATGTTTTAAATATGTTATATATATATATGTATGTATTACATACTTGCATATTTGTGTTATCTATAATGATGTATATATATAATAATGCATACATTATATATGTTGTACATATTAAAAACATATTAAAATATGTATATATCTGCATGTAAAATTTCAGGGTCACAAGAGATCATTTAGACCTATTCCCAATTTTGTAAGAAAACAAAATACAAACCAAGGGTAAGGACTTGAGTGTTCTGCTATACCATGGTTCTTTAAATCTGGATCTAAAACATTAGAAACATAGAGATTAGAAATGTCTGATTATTTGGGAAATTAAACTTAACCTCTTTTTTTTTTTTTTTTTTTTGGGGACGGAGTTTCGCTCTTGTTACCCAGGCTGGAGTGCAATGGCGCAATCTTGGCTCACCGCAACCTTCACCTCCTGGGTTCAGGCAATTCTCCTGCCTCAGCCCCCTGAGTAGCCGGGACTACAGGCACACGCCACCATGCCCAGCTCATTTTTTGTATTTTTAGTAGAGACGGGGTTTCACCATGTTGACCAGGATGGTCTCGATCTCTTGACCTCGTGATCCACCCGCCTCGGCCTCCCAAAGTGCTGGGATTACAGGCGTGAGCCACCGCGCCCGGCCGAAAACTTAACCTCTTTTAAGATTATTGAACTGCAAAGAAAGAACAGTTAGACCAGTAGTTCTCAAAACTGAGATACTGACACAGCAGCATCATTATCACAAGAAAGCTTATTAGAAATGCAAAGTTACAGGCTCCATGCCACAAGTACCAGGTCAGAAACTCTGAGGTGGAGCCAAACTGTTTTAACAAGGCCTCAGGAAATTATAATGCACACCAGAGCTTATCACTTTTATGTCTGACAAGTTAAAAAGCATCAGAGACAAAAGGTGATACTAGAAAACTCACTACCAACAAGATTTGAGGGGAGAGCAAAGGGCAAAATGGCACAAACTGAAATCAAAAAAGATGAGACAGGTTATGTCAGATAGATCTAGTTTGTTCCCTTTTCTTTTTTCCTTTTTTTGAGACAGAGTCTTGCTCTGTCTCCCAGGCTGGAGTGCAGTGGTGCGATCTCAGCTAACTGCAACCTCTACCTCCTGGGTTCAAGCGATTCTCCTGCATCGGCCTCCCAGGTAGCTGGGATTACAGGCACCCACCACCATGCTCAGTATTTTGGTAATGTTAGTAGAGATGGGGTTGCACCATGTTGGACAGGCTGGTTTAGGCTGGTTTATTCCTTTTTCTACTGCTGTATATTCTGCTACTCTATGTCTAAACCACAACAGATCCTTTATTTCCTATTTTTCACTATCACAAGATTTGGTAAATATTCTTGTACGCGAGTACTAGGTAAACACTTCAATTTAACTAGAAAGGACCAACTTTCCCCTTTTAAATTATAATGTTCTTGTCAACCCTATAGTTAATGTTTTATACAACAAATGATTTGCTATTTATTGAGATGTTTCAACTATTAAAGTCATTTTCTTCTAAATAAATCACTATTTTCTAAGTGTATTTTAAAAACTCTAGACAGTCTTCATTTCAGTAATTATTTCCACCAAAACAAACACTGTGGCTGGGTGCAGTGGTTCACTCCTGTAATCCCAGCACTTTGGGAGGCCAAAGTGGATAGATCATAAGGTCAGGAGTTCAAGACCAGCCTGGCAAACATAGTGAAACCCCGTACAATTAGCTGGGCATGGAGGTAGGTGCCTATAACCCCAGCTACTCAGGAGGCTGAGGCAGGAGAATCCCTTGAACCTGGGAGGCAGATGTTGCAGTGAGCCTTAATGAGCCACTGCATTCTAGCCTGGGCTACAGTGTGAGACTCTCACTCAAACAAACAAACACTGTATGCAACTGCTGCTGTTTGTTTGTTTTTGAGACAGGATCTCACTCTGTTGACCAGGCTGGAGTGCAGCCTCACAATCTCGGCTCACTGCCACCTCCACCTCCCAAGTTTAAGTGATTCTCCCACCTCAGCCTCCCAAGTAGCTGGAACTACAGGCACACCACCATGCCTGGCTAATTTTTGTACTCTTTGGTAGAGACAGATTTCACCATGTTGGCCAGGCTGGTCTGCAACTCCTGACCTCAAGTAATCCACCTACCTTGGCCTCCCAAAGTGCTAGGATTATAGGCATGAGCCACCACGCCCAGCCTACAACACTTTTTCTAGGTAAAAAAGACTTTTCTCATGAAGCCCATCCCTTTTAATGATAAACTGTCATTTATTTAATCTAATTTGTTGTACTACAAAATTTAGATTAACAGCTTATACTATCCCTATCAAAACTCAGAAAGTACAGCTAAACAAGGCCCAGCCTGGCCAACATAGCAAAACTCTGTCTCTACTAAAAATTCAAAAATTAGCCAGGCATGGTGGCACATGCCTATAGTCCCAGCTACTCAGGAGGCTGAGGCAGGACAATCACTTGAACCTGGGAGGCGAAAACTGAATTGAGCTGATATCTCACCACTGTATTCCAGCCTGGGCAACAAAGCAAGACTCCATATGTCTTTAAAAACAAAAAACAAAAACAAAAAAAAAGCTGGCCGGGCACAGTGGCTCACGCCTATAATCCCAACATTTTGGGAGGCCGAGGTGGGTGGATCACCTGAGGTCCAGAGTTCCAAGATCAGCCTGACCAATACAGGTATGGATCGAGTTACGACCTATACAACTTATGACCATTCGACTTTACGACCACAATCGCTAGCCACGACTGCTCCACGTCTGGCAGGGCAAACGTTGCCTAGCTGGGCGTACAACAGTGCGGACCAGCTTGCGGCAGCACTACCATCTCTGCGTGCATACAGCCTACTCAACTTACGACCAAATCGTGTTACGATCGGTCTGTCGGAACCAATCGTGGTGTGGTCGTAAGTCGAGCACTAATTGTATGGAGAAAACTTATCTCTAAAACAAACAAACAAAAAAGCTAAACAGGGCAAGGCAGGTGCAGTGGTTCACGTTTGTAATCCCAGCACTTTGGGAGGCTGAGGCAGGAGGATCGCTTAAGGCCAGGAGTTCAACACCAGCCTAGGCAAAAGAGCAAGACTCCATCTCTACAAAATAGAAAAATATAGCCAGGCATGGTAGCTCACATCTGTAATTCCAGCTACTTAGGAGGCTGAGGCTGGGGGACCACTTGTGCCCAGGAATTGGAGGCTGCAGTGAGCTGATAGTGCCACTGTACTTCAGCCTAGGCGACAGACTCTGTCTCTAAAAAAATTTTTATAAAAACTAAACAAGGCACTATATTGTATTTAGGCTGATAAAGTAAATGGTCTAAAATTCTCTTTAACAAAAGACGATGCTGATTACCCTAATGTAAAACAAATAATTCAGGAAACTATAGACATTTTAAAGAAAATTGTTTTTGACCTATCATTGATCTTAAATATACAACTAGATCTACACTTGTAGATAGAGTGGAGGGTATCAGAATCATGAAGTCAGAGTAAGGTCTATCACTGTTCATTAAGTAGGAAAAGTCAGCTATGGGAAAAGCAGTTTGAAAGTCAGTGAGTTCCTTCATTTATATCCAATAAATTGCAGTTAAGTTACAACACTCAAATTTGCCTACCACGTTCAAAGTTTCACAAAGGAAAAACACATATGAAACTCTTGAGATTAAAAAAAAAAACAAGGCCGGGCGTGGTGGCTCACGCCTGTAATCCCAGCACTTTGGGAGGCCGAGGCGGGTGGATCACGAGGTCAAGAGATCGAGACCACCCTGGTCAACATGGTGAAACCCCGTCTCTACTAAAAATACAAAACATTAGCTGGG